GCCCCCGCCCCGGCTTTTGCGGCGCTTTCTGCTGCAGCCACATTTTCCTGCAGTGCTCGGGGTGACAGCAGGTCCGAGCGCGGGGCGGGGGGGGGAGCGGGGTAGGAGGGAGGGCGCGTGCACCCACCTGTCCCCATCTGGCCCGCCCCACCGCGGCCAGCCCCCTGCCGCCGGCCGGCGGACTCTGCAGGTCTCTGCGGGTGGGGGGGGCAGTCGTGACGGGCCGGCGGGAGGGAAGCTCCTGGCCCCCTCTCCATCGGGCTCTTCCCTCTGCAGGGGAGCAGATCCTCCCGCCCAGATCCCTCTCCCGCAGGGGTCCAAGGCCCACAGCAGAGCGGGGGATGAGGTGTGCTCACCCCAGTCCCAAGTCTCCTGCCCCTCGGTGGGCATCCGCCTGCAGCTCTGGCCTTGTCTCCCCAGGTCTTGGGACCCGGGGTCCCTTCGGAGCTCTGCGCTGGCGGGTCTCACCCCAGCTGGGGCGTCCGGGAGCCCCTGAGGTCACAGAGCCCAGCCGTCTGGTGGGGGAGAGCTCCGGGGGAGAGGTCCGAAAGCAGCAGTTGGACACCAGGGTCCGCCAGGAGCCACCAGGGGGTCCGGTGAGTGGGGTTGGGTGGTGAGGCCAGGGGGCTGAAGCAGGCCTGGAGCCCAAGGAAGGCCACCGGGCAGCCAGGGTTTGGGTCCCCCCACCCCACCACACACGCTGGCTCCTGCAGCTTTTCCTTCTGCACAATGGGCTACCCACCTGATGGGTGCTGGAGCCCACTAGTGGGGAGCCCTGGCCTCATTCCAGGACCCCTCCAATCATCATGGGGATCCCCTGCCCTCCGTGGACCCTGGAATGCCCAGGACTCATGCAGCCTCGGGTCAGCCTTCCACCCGCCCCCACTCCCATCCTGCCAAAGCAAGTGGTTCTACCTCAAATGGGGCTTGGCCAGGGCAGTAGGGGACAGGGAGAGGCCGCTAAGAGCCCAGGCACCAATTAGGTAGGGCTCCCGTTTCTCCTCACAGCCACCCTCAGCGGGCTTTCTTGGAACGGCTCAGTGCTTGCTCCTGCCTCAGTTTCCCTCTGTGCACTGATAGGCTTGTCTTTCTTCCTGTCCTTGCTGAGGGTGGGGTCCCGGAAAAAGGTTGGAGGCCCCAAGCTCACCCACAAATGCCAGCTCCATCGGCCCCATTCCCCGCCCCCTCCCCCCGCCCCATCCCTTTCAGCTGCCAGGCCCCTCCTGCCTCCCAAAGGAAGGTTAGGAATGAAGGAGATTAATTGCAATTAATAATTAATTAATATCATGTGAATAATAATTACCCAGATGGAATATTCATTCAGCACGCCTCGGCTCTCCCGGAGCTGGAAGCTGAAAGTTAGCCAGGCCAATGGGGGGGGCGGGGGGGGCGGAGGGAGGGATGGCGAAGGCCTGGCAGAAATAGGAGGTGTAGAGGAGAGACTCAGAGGAGGGGTACAGCGGAGGTCTGGGAAGTTTTGGCAGCTGGGAATGGTGGGAGGTAAATTGGGCTGGGCAGAGAGAGGAAGGAGGGAAACGGACATCTGTCAGACTGGCATCTGGCCCTGCCTAATGTACTTGGTTAAAAGCCCTTAGGGGGGGGTGGAGGGGTTTGTGGGGGGGTTCAGGGGGGATACTCGGGAAATGGAATGGAGCAGGAAGGCAGCATGCATAATAGATGGACCATCACTCAAGGCAGGGAGGGGGAGGGGCTGCTTAATGGTCCCGGGCAGGCAGGGTGGGGGTGGGGGTGGATGGGGGTGGCAGTGGGGCAGGGGTGAGAGGAAAGCGGTTGGAGGCTGCCTTCAGTGTCTGCCCATGCTCCTTGGGAGGTGGGAGATGGGCCATAGGATGATCCCAAGGCCAGGGATGGGGTGTCCTGGCTGGGTTTGGTCCTTGGTCCAGCTTTCTTCCTTGGGGTCACCCCCCGAGAACTGTTCACCCCAAGCCTGTGTTGGCTGGGAGTTGACTGCCCAGCCTGATGCTGGGGCCCCTGGTGGGTGCTTCAGGGGAGGTCCAGATGGAGGATGGGGTGATGCCGTGGTGTGGTCAGAGGACATTGCGGGCAGAAGGCGTGGGGGCCAGGTAGGGATGAAGAATGGAGTGCTTCCTCAGCCTAGTCCTTCCTGGAGGGAGAGTGGGGGGCGGGTCCTGGGCTATGATGGCGCCTGGGACTGTGTTGGGGGGGGACCAGAACGGGTGTAGCTGGACTTGATGAGTTGGGTATGCAGACGACAGGTGTCGTTCTGCTGTGTGATGTGTGTGAGCAACCAAGTCTGAATGTGCCCAACGGGGTGTCTGAGGGGGTGAGGGTAGGAGTGGAGGGTTCGTGGATCTGTGGGGCGGTGCTCACCTCCAGTGGGGGCCTCTCCAGCACTGAGCCTTTCTAGGGACCTCCCTGCAGCCTCCCCAGGGGACATACTCGTACCTCGGTCTCCCCTGAGGTGGATTTCTCACAGCTCCGTAAGGAAGGTGACTTTTGCCTGCCCATTTTACAGATGAGCAAACTGAGGCTCAGAGAGGTTGAGTAACTTGCTCAAAGTCAATCAGATCTCAAGCAGCGGAATGATTCTGTCCAAGACCAGGTGCTTCCCACTGCACCATTCCGCCTCCAGGGACTCTCCATTTTGGCACCAGGGCAGTGCCATCCAGCGAGATGGAAGAAGGCCGAGGGAGACAAAGGGACATGTCCAAAATAGCTCCCCCTGACCGGAAGGAGACATTGCAACCCTCTCCTCCCACCTGGCATTTCTCCCTGAGGCCTGTCTGGCGTTGGACCCTCGGGGCTGATGACGGAGCCCGTGCAGCACTGAGCCCGGGTCCCCACAGGAAGTGCCACACCCTGACGCTGTTGGGCTCAGGGCAAAATTACTGCATCGGCTTGGGACCTCAGGCCCAGCGAGGTGTTGGGGCAGCAGCAAGATCTCTATTTGCTGTGGGTCAGGTGGCGAGTGTGGGGGAGCACTCTGGCCGGCAGGACTAGGGTGGGGGGGGCTTGGGTGCTCACCTGCTCTGGCCTGGTCACATCACCTGTCTGAGGTCTAGCTTCCTGATCCCTAAAATCGGGATGATGATAATATTCATCTCAGCCTCATCCACCTCCCGGAGGTGGTGATAGGAAAGGGTTTTGTGTGCTGAGGGCTCCTGGCTTTTGTGGGGAGGGGAGCGCGGGGGTGCGGGGGGAGGAAGGTGGCCAGGAAGGAATTAGAAGCTAGAGAAATGACAATTTACTGGGCCCTTACTGGGGCAGTGTTATGCCTTTCCACGTACTGAGGTATGTAATGATCATCGCAGCTGTAGGAGATGGGGCTGTTGTTATTCCCGTTCTACAGGTGGGGAGACGGGCACAGAGAGGTGAAGTAACAAGCCAGGTCACACATCACTTAAGTAGCGGAGTCAAGACTGAGGCCCAAGATCGATGCTCTGAGTCCACCTGCCTCCCGCTCAGGGTATAGTGAGTGAGGGGGGCCACGGGGGACCCACTGCTCTCAACACCTCGTTTTTGTCCAGTTTGGAAGCAGACTGGGCCTGAGGCCCAGAGAGGTGGGGGAGTTTCTGGAAGTGCAGAAACCTGTGGTCAAAGGGAGCCTGAAGCTGAAGATTGAGACAGAAGAACAAGCAGGGCCACCGCGTGCAGTTGGGCTGGTTGTTCACTGCACAGGAGTGCCCAGGCAAGTGGACTGAATGAAATCTGTGGGCTCATGAGGCTACATGTCTCTGAGGGGAACCTTTTTCTAATCCACACAGAGCTGCTGTGTGGGTTATGTCTGCCCCCTAGGGAAACCCAGACTCCTTCAGAACCAAGACAAGGGCAAGATGTGGGGAAGCAAACAGAATTGAGGGTGGAGAGGTTCCAGGCTCCAGGCCTTGGAGACAGACATACCAGAGCCAGCTGGAGGAGGGGGGACCTCAGTCACTGGGCTGAGCTCCTATGAAAGCTGTCCAGACCAGCGTTTACTGGAAATGCTACCCCCGAAGCCCTCGGCGGGTTTGTGTTTTCTTGCTGTAGGGGGTGGGGGACAATCTGGCAAGGCTCAGTCCCCAGCCCTTACTAGATGGCAGTCCTCGGCAGGGAGCCACAGGACCTTGGGCCTGGAGCCCTCGTACCCTACTAGGGCCATGGCCAGGCTTTGTCTTTACAGCCAAGGTTGCAGCTCTGTCCTGGGATTGGAGGTAGGAGATGGTTCCCGGGAGGGGGCTGGTGGCCGGAAGCCGCCCCTGGGACTTGTGCTGGCCCCTCCCCACCCAGGCTTGCTCTGCAAAGGCGAGGGCCGTGAACTGAGCCCCGGCCTGAGGTTGGGCGGAGAGATTGTTCACGCATGAGACTAAGCTTGGGTCTGAAAGGCTTTGGGGGTGAGGGTGGGGGGAGCAGCCTTGGCGGCTCCTGGTTCTGCTGCCTCTGAATCCCACCTTCCTCATCCATAAAATGGGGCTAAGAGTCGTCTCCGTCTTGCCAGGCTGCTTGGAGGATCAGAGGCGATGATGTTTGTCAGGTGTCCTGCCTGGGATCTGGCAAGAACAGATGTTCAACATCTGTGAGGCCTGCCCTCGCTCCCGAGTGTCCAGGGCGGGGTACGGGCAGCTGGACTAGCATGAGGGCTGGTGTCCGAGACAGAAGCCTGGGCATTTGGGGGTTACCTGTCAGGCTCCGGGTGGTGCTGGTGGGGGTGGGGACAATGCGGCAGGAGTCTTGAGTCCTCCCCAGACTCTGGCCTGTGGGCTTGGCCTTGCCTGATCACCCCCTCCTGGTTGCCTAGAGGGACCCAGTTGCCTAGAGTCTGTCCCCAGAGGGACTCATGACCCTCTAAGGAAGCGACTCTGTCCTCAAAAATATAGGTAAAATCCCATTATCAGAAATTTGTTCAACTGTTCGGTCTGGGATTCCCACAGTCCTGCTGATCAGTTGAGCCTCAGCACATCGTGGGCGACAGCTGCCGTGGGGAGGGGATGTCTCCCCCCGCAGGTGGGGCCCCTGTGTCTCTGGCTCCATGCCGTCTGCCACCACCCAGCCCATGTGGTTCGGCTAGTTCCTCAAAGCCCTGTTCAGCGGGAACATTTACACTTCGTTCTTCAACTGTTATGATTATGATTACTAATCCTTGTGATAATAACACATTAAGAAGGGCTTCCATCTGACCCTCATGACAACCCCATCTTACCGATGGGGAAACTGAGGCTCAGGCCTTCTGATGCCTTTCCATTCAACATGAGTGTTGAAAAAAAGATGGGCGTGTTGTGTGCTCAGGGGACTAAAGGTGGCCGTGTGAAAAGTTGAATCAGTGATCAGAGATGTCCAGAGCTGAGGCCCTAGGAGAGGGGGGTTGAGGTGGGGTGAAGGGCCAGCTCAGGAGTAGAGGATCCACAGCACTCGTGGGTTGGGGGGTGCGGGCTTTGCAGATGAGGGTGAGGAGGAGAAAGCCATGGGAGGAGACGGGGATTCCGGTGGAGGGATTTGGGGTGACAGTTTGAAGGGCAGTGCTTGGACACTCAAATTTACTGGAGCATCTGAGAACCCCCCAAGACCCTCAGTCTCCCCCTTCCCAAGACTGTGATTCTATGGGTCTAGGCTGGAGGCCTGGCGTCTGTATTTGTGATTCGGGGACTTCAGTGGGATTTTTGCCTCCTTCCTTCTGCCCCCTGAATCTGGTTGAGCCTGACACGGGGCATAAGCCCAAGCCGAGGGGGTGGACGGGCTGGTAACAAGGGAGCCTCGGGGAGGGCAGTCACAGAAGCCAGGTGGCCGAGCTGCTGTGACAGACATGAACCCCAGCCCCAGGCTGAGATCTGACCCCGCACCTCCCCAGCATGGCCCTGGGCCAGTCACCTCCGAGTGTCTCTCCCTGAGCCTTGGCCTGCCATTTGTAAAATGAGCACCAGATGACCTGGGCGGGTTGGGATCAAATAAGCCAGGGCACGTGAGAGCCGGATGGCCGGGGAGTGAGAGGCAAGAGCAGGGCACGGGGTCGAGGCCTGGCCGGCCGGTCACCAACAGCGCTGAGCTGGGCACGGAGGAGGGCGGGCGGGTGGCAAGGGACAGAAGGGGCTCCCAGGGGAGGAACTGAGGGATAATGGAAGAGGTCAGGGGCAGGTCAGGGGCAGGAGGCAGACCAAGTAAGGAGCTGTTTGGCTTTGATAGAACTCAGGCCTAAAGCTTGGCTGGTGGGGGTGGGGGGGCCGTCTTAGGAGTCTGGGGCCAGCAGGAGCCCCCACCCCAGGTGCCTGGGGTACAGAGTTCCTGGGGACTGAGGTAGGCTTGCCTTAACTTTCACTTCCTGCAGACAGGGGTTGTCCCCATGTAGGCCCTGCCCGGCTCTCTGATTTCCCTCCCCTTCCTCCAGCACTTTTGGTGGCTCCCTAGTCCTCCCTGGGCTGCCTCCTTTCAGGCCCAGCCCCCAGCCCCAGCAGCTGCCCTTGCCCTTATCTGGCCTGGGCCCTGGGTCCTGCTGGGGAAGGGGCAGCCCAGCCCAGGGTAGGCCTGAGCAGGTGGGGAAGAATGAGGCTGCAGGAGGTGGTGGGGACAGTAAGGACCTAGTGTCTGCTCTTCCACGAGTCTGGGCTTTCCCCAGAGTGGGGGTCAGCTTGGTCTGCACAGAGATGGGGGAGGCCAGATGGGTGAGCTTGCTGACTTCCTGAGTGGTGGACATTCTGCTAGCACCAGGGCCGACGCTGCCAGAATTCTCCTGGCCCAAGACGACCCCCACCACACAAAGCCAACTTCACAGCCTTGCATCTATCTGGGCTCATCGTACCATTTTTAGTGGGAGAATCTGAGGCTCAGGGAGGCTGCTGGCTCACCCCTGAAGCTGCACAGCCTGAGGGAGCGGGCTTGGGCCAAGGGGCCTGGAAGGGCTGCTCCTCTGGGGGGCCCATAGGGGCAGAGATAGGGGCTTATCAGTGGGGGTGGGGGGCAGAAAGAACAAGCGGATACAGACCTGAGGACAGGGGAGGGCAGAGGTAGTTCGGGCAGGGATGGTTGGGGAAGGCAGAGATAGACCAAACCCAGGAGAGGAGAGGGAGGGCAGGGATAGTCTAAGCCAAGGGCGTGGGGTGGGAGGGGTACAGGTAGTCCAGGCCCAGGGGCAGGGAGAAAGCAGAGATGATCCAGGCCAGGGCAGGAAGAGGAAAGCAGTGACTCCTTGACGTTCTATTTCAAGTCTGATTGACGCTCTAGGGGCTTGGGATAGAGCTTGAGCTCAGTCAGCCTGGGATAGGGTGAGTCAGTGTCCTTGGAGCTCAGAGGGCTGCCTACCTGGGCGCTGGCCCTTCACCCCACCTCAACCCCCCTCTCCTAGGGCCTCTCATGGGCCCTTTCTATCTTACTTCACCTTTGGGGTGAGAAGGCCTTGGAAGCTGATTCTGTAGGCTTGAATCCCAGCTGCACCACTTCTTAGCTGTGTGACTTTGAGCAACTTAGTTAGCCTCTCTGTCCTTCAGGCTCCCCATCTGTCAGAGGAGGGTAGCCGTGGCTTCTACCCCACTGGCTCGTTGTTAAGATCAAATATGATAATGCTTGTATTTAGAACAGTGCCTGGCACATAATAAGCACTCAGTAAAAATGAGAAATCTAGGTGGTTGATAAGAAAGCCAACTAGCACCAGGCTATGAGATTTCGTGACCTTGGGGCTCCCTTCCACCCTGCAGCCCAGGAGAAAAGCCTCACACCTGCATGGCCCAGTGGTGGGACCCTCACCTGGGAGTCTGGGTTTCAGTCTTCTTAAATGGATAGGGGCGTGAAAAAGGCTCTAGTCCCTCTCAGGCCCTTGCTGTGCTTCCAGGTTTTTGTGAGACCTGACGCTTGGAGTGGGGACGTGAGAGTCCCCCTCATTCCCTTAGCACAGACTCTCCTGCCCCTTCTCTTGAGGTCACTGTTCCTCCAGGCACACTAGCTTCAGGTCTGGAGTCCCCACTCCGCGCAGAAGCTGGGCGCCCAGAGCGGGTAGGGCAGCCATCTTGCTCAGGCCTGGTACGTCGCCATGACAACCTGGAGCCTCCCAGCCCCACTGCAAAGGCCCCTCTGAAAAATTTATCAGGAAAACTTCCGTGTTTAAAAATTAACCATGGGATTGAAATATTAAAGATGAGCTGCTTTGGGCAAGGCAGAGGGCAATGGACTTGGGGGTGGAGGAGCCAAGTTCCCTCCTCCTGACAGGATGGCATCCTGGACAGGACATCCAGGACAGCCCATCACCCCAGCTTCCAGTTCTAACCCACGCTACGCTGTCTGTAGAGTCCGAGACTCCTCCATCAATTGAGGCTGGGGCCAGGATGCAGGAAGGGAGGGGCCTGGTTTGCAGGGCCCGGGGGTCACACTGCTCCCCCATCTCCAGTTTGCCCCTTTCCCATGGTACTTCTGGGGGGCTCTCTTTAGTCCACTTGAGGGCGGGGCTGGCCCTGCCAACAGCAGGGAGGGCCTGGCATGAAGCAGTGGGCAGGCTGAACTGCCTTCCATCCCTGCTGCTCAGGTAGCCTGGCCCTAGGGGGCGCCTACACCAGAGAGGGTGGGCTGGCACGTGCCCCCTATGCTGCTCACCGAGCCCTGGCCCAGAAGGTGGGCTGTGTGCCGGGGTGCATACTCCTGCCCCTGTCCCCAGGAAGGGAACAGGGTCTTGGAGGAAGATGAGCTCTTTCCCCCCAAATCAACGGTCCCCTTGGCTGCTGGGCTGCGCCATCCCCTCCCCAGCGCTACTCCTTGTTCTGAGGTTCCCCAGATTGATTCCCCTCCGCCCTCCCCCCACCCCCAGCCTGTCCACCTGGCCCAAGTGAGTTTCGTCATCCCAGCCTTCAACTCAAACTTCACTCTGGACCTGGAGCTGAACCAGTGAGTGTGGCCTTGAGCCTGGAAGGAAGGGCAGCAGGCGGGTGGGCAAGGCATGGTCTTGACTTGGCTGGGTGGGGAGACGGGGGCAGGGCTGGGGCAGGGGACCTGGATCTGAGCTGCGGTGGGACCCAAGTCTGATCCAGCCCCAGCAGCGACCCCCTCTCCTTCCTCCTGGCCCCCTCTGTCTGTTTCAGTCACCTCCTCTCCTCGCAATATGTGGAGCGCCATTTTAGCCGGGAGGGGACAACCCAGCACAACACCGTGAGTACCTTTGGAAGGGGACAGGGGAGATGGAATGAAGGGACAGGTGGTCAGTGGAGATGGGGTCCAAGGTATATTCTATACTTGGGTGGGCCCAGCCCCTTGGGGCCCTCCATCTCTCCCCACCATGGCGGCTCCAAGGGTCGGAGTCAGTGTGGCGTATTGAATGGCGTGGAGCCTGAGCTCCCTTCACCCAGCTCCCAAGGTCTGACTCCCAGCCGGCCTCTCTGCCTGACATGGAGGCCTTCAAGGACCCTCCCTGCCCCCTGCCCAGACTTTTCTAGGAGGTGGCCGTTGGGGAAATGCCCTTCTTACTCAACACCAAGGCCTTGGAAATTCCTGGCTGCCCGGGACACCAGGGTCCCAGCCCCAGAGGCCCAGGGGCTTGAGCAGAGATGAATGAGTGTCTATAAATAGCCTCCTCCCCGTCCCCCCACCCCCAACCAGCCAGTTCAGGAACTGGAGCACAAGTAATTCTGCAGGAGCAGGGAGGGGGGTGCTTGTCCCCTCTGACCCGAGAGCCCAGGCCAAGAGGACACACGCTGCTCACAGTTCCTCAGCCGTAGACCGTGTCCGCCGAGGCGGTGGTCTCTGTGAATACACTGTGTGTGCACTTGTGTGTGTGCTGGGGCTGAGTCCACAGCTTTCATCTGATTAAGTGAGCTCCTCAGTGGTAAGTGCTTAGAGCCGTGCCTGGCCCGAGTGCTAGCTCTCCTCAGAGGAGTCTATGAACCATGCACCTGCCCCTCCCAAGTGGCTAAGAACCACTGAGGTAGGGCGCCTGGGTGGCTCAGTTGGTTGAGCGACTGCCTTCGGCTCAGGTCATGATCCTGGAGTTCCGGGATCGAGTCCCGCATCGGGCTCCCTGCTCGGCAGGGAGTCTGCTTCTCCCTCTGACCCTCCTCCCTCTCATGCTCTCTGTCTCTCATTCTCTCTGTCTCAAATAAATAAATAAAATCTTTAAAAAAAAAAAAAAGAACCACTGAGGTAGCCCAACTTCCTCATCTTGTAGGTGAGGTGATGGGGGCCCAGGGAGGACTAGGCACCCGCCCAGGTGAAAGAGCAAATTAGGAGCACATCCAGAGTAGGACCAGGCTCCAGATCCCCAGGTGTACCCAGGGCCCATGGCCAGCCGCACACCCAGCAGCCGCGGGGCCCCTCCTCGCTCCTCCTGCTTTCACACCAGGGCCGGGGGCATGTCTGCTCATGTTCTGCTCCTCCTCCAGGGGGCCGGGGACCACTGCTACTACCAGGGGAAGCTCCGGGGGAACCCCCAATCCTTTGCTGCCCTGTCCACCTGCCAGGGGCTGCAGTGAGTACGGGCAGGGGCGGGAGAAGGGGGAAGAGCCTTCATCCCTGGCCTGGGGATGCAGGTGGGGACCTGCACCTCTGTCTCTGCAGTGGGGTCTTCTCTGATGGGAACTTCACCTACATCGTGGAGCCCCGTGAGATGGCCAGGCCTCAGGAACCCCCCCAGGTGAGCCCCTCACGGTCCCCTCTGACAGCCCTGCCGCGCACGCACACCCTCGTGGCTTGTCCCAATGGCTGTCGCTGCCTCCTCCCTTGGTGACCTCAGCCTTACTGCCCTCCTCAGTCACCCCAGCTCTGGTTCCCTCCCCCTGTGCCCTCAGCTCCAATGTCCCCTCTGTCCCCCAAGTAACCTCCCATCGGGCTCCAGTGTCCTCTGCCCCTATCTCTCAGGGCGCCCCCAGGTCTTGACCCCGGAATCTGAGCATCTGGGAGATCAGATCCGACATGGGAGCTCTGGCCAGTTCTGGGTCACCCTGGGGTGGGGTGGGGGTGAGGGCTGGAGCTGTCCCCCATCTGGGCTCAGGAGCAGACCTGGTCGCCCCCCCCCGCCAAAAACTAATTCCCCCTCATTTCAGGGACCCCTTCCCCACCTCATTTACCGGACCCCTCTCCTCCCAGTCCCCCTCGGATGCAGGGAACCAGGTAAGGGAGGGAAAGTGGGGCTGGGGAGGGGGCCAGCTGTGCTCCCCTCACCTGGCCCCTCCCCCCAGGCTGCCTATTTGCTGCCCCTGCTCATTCTGCCCCTGTGAACCTGCCGAGGCTGAGAAGGAAAAGGCAGGTACGGGGGCCCGCACAGACCTCGGGCTGCAGAGACCTCGGGCTGTGGTCCATCCATGACGGGGGCAAAGGAGGGCTCAGACTGATGTGGCTGGGGGCCAGGGTACCACGCTTGAGAGGAAGCCCCCCACCCCATTTCCTAACACCCGTGTCTGCACCTGCCCGAATTATGGACAAACTGAGGCTGACTGCCCTCTTACCAAGGCTGGGGAGGGAGGGGACCCCCACCAGTGGGGGGACCAGCATTATCCCTGACTGGAGTTCAGCACCCCCGAGTCTGCCCATGGCTTGGCCCCGACGCCGGGCCTGGAGGGGACTGATCCCAAGTGCCCACCCACCGCCCAGGTCCGCCGGGGCCACCCCACCGTGCACAGTGAAACCAAGTACGTGGAGCTGATCGTGGTCAACGACCACCAGCTGGTAAGTTCCCAGCCTGGGGGCAATTCTGGGGGGGGGCCCAAAGCAGCCTGGCCCTCCTCCCACTCTCTTTCCTGCCAGTTCGAGCAGATGCGCCAGTCGGTGGTCCTCACCAGCAACTTTGCCAAGTCCGTTGTGAACCTGGCAGATGTGGTGAGCCACCCCCCTTCCCTTCCCTCTCCTCCCTCGCCACTGGCCTGCTGCACACATGCTTGGGGTGAGCTCGGCAGGACCCTATCAGCCTCTGATCCCCACTTCCTGAAGAGACAAACTGAGGCCCTCCTCCAGCCCTGTGCCCCCACCCTCTCCTACCCTCCAGCCCCACCCTCATCTTCTTCCCTCCGGGCCCAGATGTACAAGGAGCAGCTCAATACCCGCATCGTGCTGGTTGCCATGGAAACGTGGGCTGATGGGGACAAGATCCAGGTGCAGGATGACCTCCTGGAGACCCTGGCCCGGCTCATGGTCTATCGGCGGGAGGGCCTGCCTGAGCCCAGTGATGCCACCCATCTCTTCTCGTGAGTCCCCGCCCCACATGTCCTGTCAGGCTCAGCTGCTTGCTGCCGCGTGGGGTTGCTGGACGCTTGCTCGGCGCCAGGGGCTCCTGCGGGGTCTGGGACCTGGGCTCACCTTGCACCAGCCCCCCAGCCATTTGCCATAGGCTGGGCATCTTCCCTGTATCTTAGGCTGATGCCTCCTTTTCCGGTCCCCACTGATCTTCCTCTGCCTATCAGCTCCCCTTTTGTCCCCTCTTCTCCTCTCAAACTGTCCCAGCATCCTTTCCTCAGCAACTCAGTGCTCGGATAGAAAGAAAAAAATCTGCAGTTAGAGATGATCTCATAGGAGCCTGTCATGTGGCTCATGGGCTAACAAACGCAAAGAGAAGAAGGGGTTTGCTGAGGTCACACAGGCTGACATGAGGACGGGCTCCCCTCCCTGAGGGAGGGCTCTAGTGTGCGAGTCTCCCCAGTCTGCCCCTGACAGCCTAGGGAAGCCACCGTGGGCAAGGCAGGGGTTTCTCCTGATAACCCTCTCCCTTCCAGGGGCAGGACTTTCCAGAGCACCAGTAGCGGGGCTGCCTACGTGGGGGGCATCTGCTCCCTGTCCAGGGGTGGAGGTGTGAACGAGGTGAGCTGTGTGGGGCATGGCTGGGATGGCGGTGGGGGTTAAAGGGAGAGGGGCTGTGAAGGGCACGAGGGATGTAGACATTTGTGTGCTCCGTCTTCCTCACCCCAAGTATGACAACATGGGCGCCATGGCAGTGACCCTGGCCCAGACGCTGGGGCAGAACCTGGGCATGATGTGGAATAAACACCGGAGCTCCGCAGGTATCAAAGAAGACCCCATGTCGCCCCACAACCAGCCCAGACCCACTCCCAGCAGCTCTAGAAGTGAAGAGGGTGACTGTGGGAGGGGGGCAGTCCTCCACCCTCCCTTATATCCACCCGCTTACCTCTCAGGGGACTGCAAATGTCCAGACAACTGGCTGGGCTGCATCATGGAAGACACTGGGTGAGTTCTTGGGGACAAGCTAGGGGAGGGTCTTGGGCGAGGGAGAACCATAGGGAGCACTGAGTGGCAGTGCTCAAGAGGCCCAGCTATTGGGCCCACTTAGGATTTCAAAAAGCCCAGTTTTCTGAGGACACTGGCCAAGGAGACCCACATTCCCTAGCCGGCCACAAACTGGCAGCCTGTACTGTGCGCTGTGGCCACTGGGAGCCGCCAAAGCCTCGTGTGGAGGCACCTTCCCCCCTTAGCTCTCCAACCTCCAGCTCTGAGCCGTCCTGAGGTTTCGGGAAGGGGACAGGAGCAACGTCCGCTGCCCACTTCCGCTTGATGGGCAGGCAGGAGGATGACCGTGCCCTCTTCTGGCACGTAGATCCTCAGCCTCCTCGAGATGGTCACCGAGTCCCCCCGTGCACCCCATCCCCAGTCTTGAGAAGGGGCGAGAGTGGGCTGGAGGGGAGGGCGCGGCGGGGACTCAGCGGCTCCGTCCCCTGCCCCCTGCCCAGGTTCTACCTGCCCCGCAAGTTCTCTCGCTGCAGTATCGACGAGTACAACCAGTTTCTGCAGGAGGGAGGCGGGAGCTGTCTCTTCAACAAGCCCCTCAAGGTAGCAGCCCCAGGGCGGGGATGTGGGAGCGAGGCTTGGGCAAGGTCCCGGCCAGACTCCCGACACCCCTTCCCCGTCCAGCTCCTGGACCCGCCTGAGTGTGGGAACGGCTTCGTGGAGGCAGGGGAGGAGTGCGACTGTGGCTCGGTGCAGGTGAGAGACTGGTGCGGCGCCAGGTGCGGAACGGGGGCGCGCCAGAGAAGGTCTGGGTGGGGAAGGTCAGGGCTTACCCACCTCCCTCCCCTTGTCCCTGCGTCCCTCAGGAGTGCAGCCGTGCGGGCGGGAACTGCTGCAAGAAATGCACCCTGACTCACGACGCCATGTGCAGCGACGGACTCTGCTGTCGCCGCTGCAAGGTGAGGGGCACCTACCGCCGGGGCGGGATGGAGGCGGCACCAGGAGGGACCAGGCTGCGAACAGGACAGCCGGATAAGGGACCGGACTCAGGGAGGAGGAGCCGCTGGAGGCGGGGCAAATGTAGGGGCGGGACTTGAGGCGAAGAAAGCGCCAATGGAGAGGGAGAAGGGCGGGCGTGCGCCCCCAAGGGCCTGTTGAAGGCGGGGCTACGAGGAGCGGGGCGGGG